TGAAGATAGTAAACAAGTGATTGAATTGGTTTCTTTCGTATTTTAACTGCCTTTCGTTTTATTTTATTAATGCTTTCCCTCAAAATAAAATTTTGTCAAAGATAACTAACTACAAAATAGGAAATTGAATATTTTTCAATACCAAAACCTATTGACTTGTTGACCAGAACTTTCAAAATTAGACGAAATAGATAAGTAGTCAATGATATAGGTTCATCGGGCTGTTCCCATTCTTGAGTAACTGTGCCGAAGTCGGGATGGTTCATTAAGAGCCCTGGGTTGAGGATTGGAGAGCGAGGCTGTAATTTGGAGGTAAATTAATTTTAGGAGCACTCAGAGCTTGGGCTGGGCAGACCTCCCTCAACCACGTTACTGTAATCAACTGCCATAATCATTCATTTTAGGCTAGCATCAACTTACCGTTTACTAGCTGATAAAATCCTATATCCTGCTTCCATTTTTGAAAAAAAAAACTATTTTCCACAAATAGAATTCTATAACTATATTTTATTTTATTTTTCTATGCTTATTTGTCTTGATGAAGACATTAATGTGTGATTCATTAGCTCTTCCTCCCTTCGTCTTCAACAAGCTAAAAATGTATATGATGTCAAGACAGACTGAATAAGGAAAAAACAATGTTAAATCTATAATATTATTATAAGTAGTTTATTATATAATGCTTGATAGAATTATGTCGGTAACTATAATAAAGGACGAAGGCTGTATATACAGGGCGTTTTAGGGTTAAGTGGCCAAACTGCAAAAAATAACTGAGGACCACAAAACAAGAAAAAAATTTCCTCTGAGGGTATGTCCGATTTTTTTAGGAAATGAATCACACCTAAATAATTATTTAGGTTACATAAAAAAAATAAAACCTAATTGTGATATATCGATTATACTAATCAGTGATTCAGTTGTATTAACCTAATGGTGTTATCTTTTATGATGAATAAAATAGTTGTGTTCACTAATATTGTAGTTTTGTGCTTTAGTATTCCAAGTACTTAATATTTGGCGACGAGGATGGGATTTGTTCTAACTACTTCATTAATTAAATGTAAACATTATCATTCGTATTATATGTTGTTTCAAGTGAAGGTATGTTAACGCTTTGTTTAGGAGATGGATCAGATAGGATACTAATAAGGCCGTTTATCCCAAACTGTATAAAAACTATTGGCAACAAAAGGATTAATACTATTTGGAATTAGCATTGGGAAATCGCAATAATATTTATCAGTTTGTAAGACGCTTTCGCAGAGTACTCATCATTATGCCTTCCATTTATACAAATGGTGAATATGCCGATATGGTGTTTGTATGCGGTTTTTGCATTGATAATACTTATGCTACCCGTCGTGAATATGCCAGGCGATTTCCGAATAGAAGATCATCAAACAAGTCTAACGACGGTTGAAACAATAACACATATCCAGTGCCGTTCTGCCACTGCTGCTGTTGAAGAAAGATACCGAGTCAGTCTTAATGTTCAAGGAAATCACTTTTAAGTACATTTAATATGGATTTAATGTTAACGTTTAATTAATAAAGTAGTTGGAACAAATAAATAAGTTTTGGTAATTATTTACGAACGGTCCTCCTATCGCCATCTTGGCTGAAGTGATGTTATGTCCCGTGTTCTGATAACGTTTATCAAATCTAGCACCAGAAAGCGCCACTATTGCGGAGGGGTTGTCTTGTCCCTTCCACCTTACCTCTGTTTTCAGTAAATATAGAAATTAGATCGTTTAGGTTATATATTACCCGCCTTTTTTTAAATTAACCATTCCTTACCCACCATTAAATAAGCATCGATTGAACACCCATATCCATCTTATCCACATAATATTTTTATGCTTATACTTTTTATATATCCACATAATATATTTATGCTTATACTTTTTAGATATATTCTGTCACATTTTCAGTCTAATGTGCAGCATACTGTCTTAAACAATTTGTTAAACATTAAACAACTTCATTAACTTAAATTTTTAAATATTTGATGGTTGATCATTGTATATTTTAGATATTTAGATTGTATATATTCAATTTTTAAATACTTTATGCTTGACCATGCTATATTTTAGATTGTATGTACTAAAAAATTTACAATTTTCTATAAGTGTTTTAATGCTGGATAAGGGTTATGTTTTTCATTTATATGTTACTTAAATCTTCTAGCAATAAAACACATTTTCAGTCTACTGAGGTACATACTGGCATTACCAGATTCTAAGGGAAATGTTTCAGGATCATGTAGGAGAGCTCTAGCGATTCATTTAATTTAAAATAATCAAAGAAGAAAACACTACTGACATTCCTTTAAATCTGAACTTGTCAGCAACATAACGAGTTCTTAGCGATTGGTCCCTTGTATATTCCCCCTGGAACCGTACATTTTCTACATAATTAACTATGCCAATCATCATATCTGTATGATAGACAAGTATCTTAGCAACCTGTATATATATATATAAAACGCAATGCTCCAAGAGGTATTTAGTTAAGCAGTAATCTTTTTCAAACATTACCTAAATTATGACAACTTGAGCCTGTAACATTTATAACAGATGCTTTTGAATATATTTTTACCTATGCATCTCAATTATTCACATTTGGTTATTATAATTTCTAAATTGTCTTAATCTCCAATCCAATTTAAATTATCTGACCAGTTATCCCTAGCCATTTCCATTGCTGTCTACTTACATTATCTGTATCTACTTTTAGATAGATATATAGAAAAAAAAACTTTATTCTGGGACTAAGTCCCTTCAGAATAACAATAATGTACAAAATAATAGGATATTACTGGTCTAAACGTTTGAAACAATAAATAAAATTGATAAAATAAAATAAAAAGTAAAGAAAACCTTAGGTGCGCAAGCTATATACAATACAGATAAAACTATGTACAGAGCATTTAAAATTATAAACAAAACAATTAAAACTATGAACATATCACTTGAACTATAAACAAAACTATAAAGTTAGAATGTGTTCATTTCATAAAAAAATAAAATTTTACTTGAATATACATACAAAAATAAACAGTTAATTATAATTGAATAAATAAAAGAAATGTATGTATTGAAATTCCTATGTCGATAGTATGAAATGCATGAACTATCTCTTATCAAGTATTATGATTATATGATTGCTACACAATACATATATAGTATTAATAGTTAGCTGGTATCTGACTGTTTTTGGAACAGGAATTGGAATATGAGGTTTTTGAATGTGTATAGGGGAGGGGCATGTCGAATTTTGATCAGGAGGGAATTCCAAAAGTTGACAGAGCGGGCTATAAAGGAATTTTGGAATGAGGCAGATCTATGAGAAGGGATGTATAGGTCAGAGGGTAGAGATCTTGTGAGGGAATAGATTGAGGACTTAAATTGGAGAAGGTTGTAGGCGTAAGAAGGACCGGTAATGATTTCATAAAGAAAAGTGCCTAGGAGGAAATATTGTCTTCTTAAGGAGGGGAAGAGCCAACCTAACTCAGTGTAGTGCATAACTTATTTATAAAGTGCATTTCAATTTTTTTCTTCCAAAGGAAGTGTCTTGTGTGTTAATTAGATATTTTTAATTGAATATTTTATTCACGAATAACTGTCCGTATAAAATAAATATATTTGTTTGCACAAAAGAATAAGATATTCTAGGTTACTTTTCCTTGGTCAATTTGATCATTACTGGTGGTAATTTATCCTTATTTGGACAATAAGTCATTCTCGATAGTTAAATTATTTACAGTCTTGAAATACATATAGGGAAACCTTAGGAAGAAATTAATAAACTCATTAAACAATGTCTGGAAAGTTTGAGGCTGGAAGCCAAAACATGAGATGAAGTAAAACCTAAATCTTTCATAGGTCTATACTTCATTTATATAACTAAGGGACATTTTACATTTTATGAAGAAGAAGGTAATGAGTTACGTCTGGCGGAATACACATGATGAAGATAACTTACACTTTCTTGCCTAATAAATCATTCTGACAGGATTCAGAAAAATTAATGAGACAATACAATATAAAAGTAGATACAGATAATGTAAGTAGACAGCAATGGAAATGGCTAGGGATAACTGGTCATCTGGTATTGCCAGTATGTACCTGAGTAGACTGAAAATGTGTTTTATTGCTAGAAGATTTAAGTAACATATAATTGATAAGTATAACCCTTATCCAGCATCAAAACCCTTATAGAAAATTGTTTAATTCTTCCTGAATTGTATTAATATTGGACATACTTAGATAATGTACAATTAGAGATAAAGTGTCACAATTAAAACAAAACTTAAGTTAATAAACTTCTTTCATTTATGATAAGGAAAGCGAAAAGCATTAATAATGCTGAATCTCGAAGCTAAAAAAACAAAAACGGGCAATATATAAACACTACAATTATAAATAATATTAGTAATATATAATGGTAAAAAAAATTGATGTAGGTAATATGTGTAAATAATAACATCTGAAATATAAAGTTTGGTTAATCGATATATTGAAGATACAAAGAAATCGACAAGTTAAAAAAAATGGTGGGCACTATATATTGTAAAGGTTACAATTGGTAATTATTTGTAATGAACGTAAGGTGGAGGGGACAAGACAACCCCTCCGCAATAGTGGCGCTTTCTGGTGCTAGATTTGGTAAACGTTATCAGAACACGGGACATAACATCACTTCAGCCAAGATGGCGAGAGGAGGACCGTTCGTAAATAATTACCTAAGTTTTATTTAGTTTAACGCTCCTAAACAAGGCGTTTGCGGACACACCTTCAGAAGAATTGTTTTTCTTATTTTGAGGTCCTTAGTTTATATTCTTAGTTTGGCTACTTAACACTGAAACACCCTCTATGTCATAATAGCTCAATGCCTCAATAACGACTATGTGGTCATAACAGGAAGGAATCAAGACTCCATTTTAAAGACTGCCATAGAATGGGAAAAGGCAGCTAGAACGGCAGAACTTATAATGAATGAAATCAAAACAAAATTCATTACATCATTTAGAAAAAGGCAACAAGTGGATGCATATTGCGAGGTGGATGACTTTTGAAGGTATGGATAAATTCAGGTATCTTGATATAATTTTAATCAACTATAATAGGATTGAAGAAGAAATAAATAAAGGATTGGGGGCGGAAATAAATATTATTCGTCGCTCCGAAAGGTATTCCAAAAGAAAGAGATACCCCAAATTTCAAAATAAGGGTATATAAAACGATATGTTTTCCTATTCTCATGTATGGTAATGAGGCTTGGATCCTGATTAGTGAATAATTTGATGAATTTTTCCTTTGTGATATTTAAACAGTATCTACTTACAATTAGTGTGTGAGTCTGTCTATGACAGATAATGCGAATCTCTTAATTATGATCTAGTAAACTTTGCAATGGAAAATAACAGTTTAATAAGTAATAGTCGTACAATCCATAATCAGCGGTAATATAATAAATAGGACTTTTGTTGTTTTGATGGTATTTATGATTTGTTAACTGTACTTTTTTAGCTTTACCTCGGTTAAAAATACAATTAAAAATTTGAATAATAGCCCAACATGGCCAGAAAATATTGGAAGTTGAGTAGTAAGTAAAAGTTGTGTGTTTCGCGCACCAGATTTTATTATATACGCTCATTACACAAACTCCATTTATTCTTCCGAAAGAACTTATAAATATAAAGAGAGGATTTTTCATAATAAAGGCAAAGGATTTTCTTGGAAACGACATACAAAATATATGAGGAAGGCCCCTCTATGACCATAATTATTTCTTTAATGTTTAATTATTTTCAAATTATGTTTTAAATTTATATATCACCATAATTAAAAATATCTATATATATATATATATATATATATTTTTTTTTTTTAATTTGTTATTATATTATGTTTATCTTCTTTCAAATCATTTATGATGGAGGGCAACGGTCCCTCTCTGCCTTCCTCAATGTATGTTCTCGGAAGAAGTAATTTTTTTGGAATAATTAGTTTTTAGATTTAATTAATTTAGTTTTAATTTACTTTTTTGTTCGTTTCCCTAATCATATTCTTTGAAACTCTAATTAGAAACTCATGGTAATTTCAAAACTTAGTTTAAATGTTTTAAACAAAATTTAGAAAAACTGAGGTTTAGCATATCAGGAAGTTCCATTAGCGTTGACAGAATTGACAATTTCCTTCCAGAGTTATAAAAGATAGAACTTTAGAATCAGTCACTTTAATGTTGGTATTTTATCTAACATTGTAGGAACTGGTACAATCGCACTGTTCGTTCAAGATGCTAAATTATTCTCATTAGGTGCGCCCTGTCTACTAAATCATTGATAAGTCGATGGAATTATTAAGAGCTCTTCATCAGACTATAATGGCAGAACTTGCTAAGAAGCCGAGGGAATAAAAAAAATTAACATTTTTTATTTTTAAAAAAAGTACCTTGATTTAAGTGCGAAATCGTGTGATGTGAATTTTGTATATATATTTTTTTGTTCATATATCTACCTCAATGAATAAAAAAGTGTACGATTGTTGATTGCACTGAACAAAAGTCATATCGATCATGCGGTTGCAGGGTTTAATCAAGAAGCTAGTAAGGAGTAGGTTGGGGAAGACGAGGGTGGGGGGAGGGGAGTTAATGAAACACACAATTCTGTATTTTTTTATTTGTTGACGTTTCGACAAACGAAGGTGTCTTCATCAAGACAAATAAGAATTGAAGAAGAAAATAGAAGTGATGAGAAAAAAAAAATGTCTTCCATTCAAAGAAGGAGAAAGCCTTAAGAAGCAGAAGCAGTTAATTCAACTGATTTTACGCCACAGAAATAATTTAATTCGGCTTATTATTAATCAGGAGAGACAATATGCCGGGGGGATGGATCCTTTCTCTACACCTAATTAGATTTTGGTTTAACGTCAATCTGTTTATAGTAAAGCTGCCGTTGGTGCTTGGTACAATAATAGATTAAAGGCATGGTTATAATAGAAGGGCATTCATTAGATCAACTCCTCTCGGGAGTAGGTGTTTTTATAGTTATTCAATTGAAAAAATAATTCAATGAGATGTGTAAGAGATTTGAGCTCCTTGTAGCTTTAATTATTTTTGCAAATTAAGTTTTCATTACCAGATCCTGACTTGAGTCGTCAAAAATTATTAGATTGACAAATAAGTCCTTTCGGTATTCAGGGTGAAATAAAACTCAATATATTATAGACATAAAAAATATTTTAATCTACAATATATTGACCATTATTTAACATGACCTTTTCTCATCTTTACACTAACTGCATAATGCCATAATGTTCAGAGAATGTCAGGAGTTTGTTTTTTAAAAACTGATTCAAGTGGTTTTTGATGTCCTCTTACTTTTGGAATTTCTTTCCATTCATGGAGTAATCACTTGGAGCTAGGTCTGGTAAATAAAGAGGGTGGGGCAAAAGGTCCCATCCAAGGCTCAATAATTTATTGCGAGTTACTATATCCGTTGGTAAGCTGAAGTATCACTCTTTAAAGCCGTATGAATGGTCTTTTGATTTAATGCCTACTATTAGGAACAAATTAAAAAAAACTCCTTATAGTTTTTTATTTTTTATCTCCATTTGTAGTTTGTTTACGAAGGAGATGTTGATGTTTTTTTGTGTAGTTTATGTGGCCCTAAATTGCTGCTAAATTTCTTGTAAATAGCTAAAGTCGCTAAAGTAACATTTTTAGTTATTTTTGGGGAAAAAAAGCATGTGAGGTACCCAAATATTAAGCCTGGATACATAGTCGAGCTTGTGCAAATGGTTTTCTACGCTTGTTTGCGACAAATTTAGGGCAAATAATTATGATGACTGATCAACAATGGCCTTAACATTGCTCGTTTCAATTCCATGTGGGGAACCAGGCCGCTGAGCATGATTGATAAAATTTGGCAAACCAATTAAGACAGTTGCGTTCAGTTAAGGCGTCATCACCATTATGCTTAAAATTGTTCTATGACCTTCTGCAGCACGCTTAACTTTTTTAAAATAATACAATAAAATATTTCGATACTACATGGTATTTCCTTCTATATTCACAGTGCAATAGTAAAAACGATACTAAGCTAGTTTCAACAAAAGTTAACAAATATAGTTGTTGAGATATTGTAAACTGGTTAGGTTCAAAAATATTCAGGATAGAAAATTGTTACTTGATTATAAGTTTTAGCCATTAAAGAAAAAACTAAGTATAAAAAATAATTAGGATATGCAATCAATTTTTAATAAACATTCACCACGTACCCTAACCATTTTTTAAACTTAAAGTTTGCAATCAATGTGCCAGTAAATACAATCGACGTTTAATAAACATTGACTGTGTGTCATGATTATTTTTCAACCTTACAATTTCACCAGTCAACCATATATCTAAATCTAATGTAACAAATTTGGTTCCTGCCTGTCTCTCCGTAGACCAATTATCATGAAATTTTCAGAGGTTGCGCAAATGTCTCACATGGAATAAATCAAATTCTATCCGATACTTTCGCTCATTAGAGTAAATGTGTTTTCCTAGACATATTCAATGCTTTGAAAACGGCTTGTTCGATTTGGCTTAGGATGAGAAGATATTTGGGAATTGGTAAAAAATGATGCTGTAAAAAATATATCATATTCCAATCGCTATTTACATTTTATGTATTTGTCTACATACTTCTATATCTCAATAACCGCATGCCGATTCAGCCCGAATTTGGAGGAATGTTTGGTCAACATATAACCAAGTATGAATAAATTCTACTCACTACGTTCAACAAATACTTCTTTTTTCAGATGTGTTATAAAATTCAATAATTACTTTGAAAAATATAAGTAATAAATTATCAGTGGTACAGAACTTGAGAGTTTATTACAAAATACTTTATTCATACCTCTACGGCTCACACAACTACTGTCTCCTTTCACACGACCACGACAGGTCGCTTAAGATATTAAATAATCGCCAAAATGAAAATCTCGAGGAGATAATTTGATCAGTGCTGATTCATTTCACGAAATGCCAGGAAAGCCACTATTGTTTGTTATTACAGTCTTCAATTCAATTCTCTATACCACGAAATTTTCAATAGAGTGGAAATACTCCAACACAATCATGATTAAAAAAACAGAAAAAATGCACCAACAACCCTTCCAACCGTAGTTCAATTAGTTTCCTTCCAGCCTGTTCAAATTTTATTCAAAAATAATTTTACCCACAACTATTAGAAATACTAACAGACAAACATATAATTTCTTACCATTAGGTTTAGAAAATTATACTCAACAATACAACAGCTACACAGTATAATTGACTACATATTAAGAGCATTTGAGGCAAAGATGAACATTACTGGAGTATTTTTGAATGTCGCTTAAACATTTAAAAAAGTCGTACTTCTATTAATTAACTACTAATTCCTCATTATTTTCTATCAGATAGATTTTCTTCAGTAAGAAATGGCTCACGTCAATTCGACCTGTTCAAACCAGTGTAACCTATGAATCAATATTTTTCCCATCACACATACTTAAGACATTCCTCTAAGTGCCCACTACCTTACAGCCACCTAAGCAGACGATACGGCAATCACTACTATACATGAAAATTGTTCACAGTTATTCTGTAAATTACAACTGATAAAAAATTCAATACTGGTGCAAACCTTGGAAGAGTCGAATAAATTATCGAAAGTATAAATTATCGAAAGTATCAACACACAAAGTATCACATTTACTCCAAGTCTATAAAAATGTCCTCCTGTATACTTAGACCACATTACGAACCCACAAACAGAGCTCAATGCATAGGAGAACGACATGGGACCCAAATGTTAAGAAAAAACGGATTACATTATAATCTAAGACTAAAATTATTGCACTCATTACAAAGACGAAATTCTAAATTCAAAGCATGACAAAAATAAGTATTTCACGTGATTATGATAATCTCTTCGGACTTACGGATTACAAAAATACGGAATTAAAAGCAGACTCTTACTTTGACAATCAAGGAATATAGACTTACTAAAAGTGAAGACATGATAAGTTAAATGGTCGCTCTAACAAGTTAATAAAAGCCAAAACTGATAACACATGGAAGTACCGGAACACGTCTGAAAAATTATTTGGAAAAGTAACCTACTTACATCATAATTTTGATAGTAAATTAAAGTTGCACGCGTGGTACTTATTTTCATCATACATATCAAAATTCCCCACATTTTATTGAAAATCCCTCTCATCTGGTGATTGTTAATAACTGTAATTAACAGATGCGGATTGAAAAATAATTATTTGTAAGGATTAAATATTTTATTTTATTTAAACATATTTATTAAGACTTCTATAGGGGAAAAATACAAGCAAGAGGAATATTTAGGAAGCTTTGTATGTTACAGAAAGCATGGATTATGTTGTTAATTTTAAAGCCGATTCAGAGTAAATATATCGCAATTCTGCAGAAATAATTTATAAATATATTTCAATGCATAAATAATGAGATTGGTACTTGATTATATATATTTTTTAGAATAATATATTTAAATTATAAAAGTATTTTAATGAATTATAAAACTGAATTTCAAAAATTGATTTTTTCTTTTAAAGGATGGATTAATAATATGGTTGTAAATAAAATGCATTTATTTTAATATAATATTTTATGAATGTATGGTTTACAATACAAAAAAAAATATAGTTTAATAATGTAAATTTTAATGTTTAAAAATATTAGTTTGAAATGTGAAGAGATTTAAAATAAACATAACCTTATTAGGGAGGTTTTACTATTTGACTAATTGAGTTATAATAACAAGAGCAGTTAAGTGAATATTGATTTTAATTTATTTTTTAAATAGTTGAGTAATATAAAGTATAAAATGGAAATAAGTAATGAGCAAATATTATTAGGCTGTGGTGATTGTTTTATTTGTTAATGCTTTATTTCCTTGTAAATGGGAGAAGGGAAGCTAAAACGTTGAAATAGAAAAAGAAATAAAGTAAGATTATGTGATCAAATGTGTGTTTTTATTATTACTATTTTATTTTATTTAAAAACATATTTTCGACATGAATATTTGAAAAACTTATTTTTAGACTATCAGTTACAATCCTTAAATATATACAATTTGGAAAAATAGTATTCGGATTAATATAGAAAATATAAGGCCGAATTTAACAAGAGGTCGGTGGGTAGAAGAGATGATGGAATCTGGGATATTTTTTCTGCGAGGAGGTTGGCAATATAAAAAATCTACCCCTATAAAAAAGAAATATATTTGAAAAATGTTATGAATGAATAGGTAGCCGTTCTATTTAATCTCTTTTAGTCCCCTTCCCTTCTTTTTTATATTTATTATTAATATATTTTATATTAGTAAAAGTACTTTAATTTAGCATTAATGTAGTTGTTTTATCTAATCGGAAAGGATCTATTTTTGGAAGTGAAATCATATACAAAAGGTTATCAATGCACTAATAGCTCAGGAAATGTAATAATTCTGAAATAACAAAAAAAATGTCAGTATAGCTAAAAGGTTTTCATTTGCTAAAAAATATTTATATTAGAAGGTTTAAAAATTTTCTTATGAGATAAAATCTATGGAAGAAGCAGTTTTCGGAAATTCAATAATCCCTCAACATGTACGGCCTTCATATCCACGAGTTTTGTTAATCAGCAAAGACTAAAATGCGAAAAAATTCCGCATACGCAAATTGCATATTTGATAATTCGTAATTTAAAACAATCTTGCTGACGTATATAAAAATTGAGTGTTTTACAGGAGAGCAAATAAAATAATTATTTCTTTAAGATTTATTAGTGTAATTTTATATTTGATTACCCTCTGCTATTTTTCATAGTAGTATACTACTTTATCAATTGCAGACTACATAATGTACATATATATATTAAAACATATATATAAACATATATATAAACCTATATTAAAACTAACTTACAATTAGTTACAAAAAGTCAAACAAATGTATGTAAATCGAATATGATTATAATGGATTTATTAAATTGACATCTACTATTTTTCAACTACTTATATATATATATATATCACTACTGTAAGTGCTAAGATCGTATGTAAAAGTTTTCAATCTTTATTCTATTTTTGACATTATGTAGTCTGCAATATAAATAGTCTACTACTATGAAAAATAGCAGAGGGTAACAAAATATAAAATTATACTAATAAATCATAAAGACATAATTAGTTTTTATTCTCTCCTGTAAAACACTCAATTTTTACATACTGCATTTGCACTAACAGTAGCGAGATACATATTCAGTATGAACTGTTTTAAATTTTATTTTTTTAATTACAAATTATCAAATATGCAATTTGCGTATGCGAACTTTTTCGCATTTTAGTATTTGTTGTTAGAGTGCTACCAGTGGGTAGTTTCTCAACAAGCGTGTTTCATGTAATAATATTTCTCTGTACAAATTTACTTGATGTATTCATACTAATACAGTTGTAAATATCATAATAAAAGTTTAAAAAAGTATTTGTTGATAAACAAAACTCGTGGATAACAAGCCCGGGTATGTTGAGAGATAACTGAATTTCCTAAAACGGTTTCTTGCAGGGATTTTATTCTCATAAGGAAATGCTTAGACCTTTAAATATGAATTTAATTTAATTCAATAACAAATAAAAACGGTGAGGAAGCTATACTGACCTTACTTGGCAGACGTTTTTTAACCTCTCGCACGAATACAATGCTTCCCTACCTTATTAATTTTTACACGCTATGAAGTGAAACTTTGTTGCTGATTTTTCGATTAAATTAAAAATAAATTATTCATTCTATAGTTTAATAATAAAAATTTATGTTGCAGCAACTTACAATTAGTTACAAAAAGTCAAACAAATGTATGTAAATCGAATATGATTATAATGGATTTATTAAATTGATATCTACTATTTTTCAACTACTTTACTCGGTCCATAATTTACTTAGTAGATTTGGGAAATTCTTATATTATTTGACCATTTAGCAATTCTGAATATAGCGTCATGTTATAAACAAATCGACTTTTTAAAGAATAATTTATCTCAAATATTACTATAGATGTCCTAAATGACAAACATGAGCTCCCATAATAAGTTCCTAATATTACTTATCTTTTTTAATTTTTTTTTTTAAACCGTAAGTTAATTAATATGTATTTAAAGCTTACCAAAGAAGGATTTGTTCTTCAAACAGTTTGAATAAACAGATTTTATTAGCATAGTAGCAATATATAATGGTTATGAATCCAATAAACATAAAAGTGGACATTAAGTATTTTAAGTCAACATAGGAAAATGAAAAATAAATGTTGATTTTTGTTTCATTCATCAATGTCTAAGAGAAAAATAACTAAAATCCTCCTCATGTTCTCTAAATGTTAATAATAAAAATATCGATATGATCAATCGGTAGTAGAAACACTTAAAATAAATTATATCAAATTTACACAAATAATAGTAATATTCGTTACATTTTCATACAAAATCGCTGTTATTGATTTAACAAAATGAATTCTGAACCCTAAATAAATGTCTCGAAACTACTTATTTTGCAATCAGCATCCATTATGTTAATTGGACAATGTTATGTAAAATAACGGTAACATTCGTTACGCATAATTTTTGTGATATAGCATATTTTGGAAGAAAAAAATGTTGCCTCCAGTCAGCTCTTTTATGCCTCAAGATTACGCATAATCTGGTAGCTCGCACAACGAACAGATTTGTCAAAACCATTTTCCGTAGTATGAAATGAACGGTTTCATAAGAAAAGCCTGTAACATTAGTTACGACCATTTTCTCCACATTTTGGGACAAACCAATTTTCCTACTTTACAATCAGAGTATTTGAGACAAATAAAACAAGTATCTATTATTCTGAACACTATCATATAACAGTAAATTTCTCCGTGGTTAAAAATTAATAGATACAGATTTTCAAGTATGAAGAACTTCGCATGCTGATCTTGGGACAGGAACATACGTTACATTTTTATACATTCACATTTATATATTTCTTATTGTGTTGAGGTAGATTTATTTAAATGTCACCAACAATTCCTTAGAAAAGATCATTAATCATAGTTACTGTGTTTGGTAATCCTAAAATGTCGTGAAACTATAAAAATGGTGGATGGATTTGTACATGTAACTCCGGACACTCAAAACTAACTTCTACATTTCTTGTTCAGCGTGATCGATGTGATGTTGAAATATCTTACGTATGAAACTAATGGATGCTCTAAGTATGCATTTATGTTATTTTTTTTATTAAATTTAGTTATTATAACAGCTAAATTGTATTCCTTACACCTGATACTTGCAGAGTTGGGGAACGTTGTCATGCTTCGACGGTCGGTTTCGGTATAATTCTTGCAATATAAAATTTTCTTTCTAGAAAACTCCGTTTTAAAAATTCAATTTTTTATACACCTCCATTTTTTTTTCAGTGGATTCCAGTATATGACTATAGTTTATACCTTCCCCCAAAACATTTTGGTTACTAGTTTGAAATTAGTGAACGATCTATGATTGTTTGCCTTAACAGTTGAACTACAAATACAGAAATGTTGAATGTTATAAATGAAATATCTAAGTCGATGGAAAAATAAAAATTATTAAACTTAATTATTTAAGAAGGTTAAAATACCGAATTTTGAAAATAACTTTCTCTCAAGTATTTTTAATTTAATCTGGTTCAAATAATTTAAGTTCGACTGTTGCTAGTAGTAAGAAATAATAATACAGATAAATATGAAATAACTATTAGCTGAAAAACAAAATAGAAGAGATATTGTCTCACTTTGAAAACAAAAATATGAAAATAAGATTAGTAATACAGATACATAATATACCGCTGGAAAGCTAAAGATTTTAGAAAAATTAATAACAAATATATAAATTCGTACCAAGTAATTTAGAGTGACGAAAATGGCTTTTAATTGTTTTAGGTAATGAGACAATTTTTCTTATTATTGTTTAATATCGAATGAGAAATAAATGGAAAATTTTAAAATTTATTTTCAACTTGACGAATAATAATATACAGTGCACAGAATTATCAGTCTTTATCTAATTTTTGTAACTTTGTATTAATTACTAAAGTAATATTCTTAAGGTTTGTTAATTTTTATTTAACTTTTACAACACTAGTCATTTGTCGTCACTAAAAAATAAGTCCATATTTAGCTACTACAATAGTGCTTTTCAAGGACATACACTGCCCTTATATATGGTCCCTTCAAGGAATATATAAGCTCTTATACTTTCAAATTTTTACTTTCACTTACATATATATGTAATATATAGTAAGGGTAAGTATTGCGATCGTGAAAATTTTTGAAACTGAGTTTTCAGTTTTCAACAGAAATACACGTTTTGGGGTACCCTGAGTCCAAATAGTCAAGTCCCGAAAAAT